GTTCTTAATGGAGAGAGGTTAAAGGCATTCCCTTTAAGAACAGGAACTAGGCAAGGATGCCCACTATCACCTCTTTTATTCCCTCTTTATCTTGTTGGAGAAGTTTTTGGATGTGCATAGGGATTTCACTCTTAGAAGGTCCCATTTATCTATTTTATCTTCTCCTGGTTGTAGATTTTTCAGAAGACTTGGAAGACTATGGTGTGGATTACGACTTCTAGAGTTCTTCCAAGCTTTTCTTTAATAAAGTATATATAGTCCTTGGTTTTATTACTAGGTCCATGATCCACCTAGAGTTGATTTTTGTATATGGAGTGAGGTGTGGATCTTGCTTGAGTCTTTTGCAGATGCTTTTCCAATTCTGCCAATACCATTTGTTAAAAAGGCTGTCGTTTCCCCACTTAACTGATTTCCTCTCCTTGTCAAAAATCAGTTGACCATAGGTAGATTGGCTCATTTCTGGGTTCTCAATTCTATTCCATTGATCTATGTGTCTGTCATTGTACCAGTACCATGCTGTGTTAACCACCACGGCAGTGTAGCAGGATTTTAAATCAGGGAATAAGATGCCTCCTACTTTTTTCTATTTTTAAGGAGTGCTTTGCTCATTTGGGGCTTATTTCCATTCCAAATGAAACTGGAGATTGTCTTTTCCATCTTGTTGAAGAATGGGAATAGTATTTGTCTTGGGATTTCACTGAACGTGTAGAGTGCCTTTGGTAGTATTGCCATTTTCACAATACTGAGTCTTCCTATCCATGAGCAAGGGATATTCTTCCACTTCTCCAGGTCTCTTTTTGTTTCTTGTAGTAATGTTTTGTAACTTTCTTTGAACAGGTCCTTTGTGCTTCTGGTTAGATTTACTCCCAAGTATTTAATCTTGTGGTTAGTTATTGTGAAGGGTATTGTTTTTCTTAGTTCCAGCTCTGTATTCTCTTTATCACTATAGAGAAATCCAACTGATTTTTGTATGTTGATACTGTATCCTGCTACTTTACTGAATTGGTCATCTATCTACAATAGTTTCTTTGCTGAGTCTTTAGGGTTTTCTACGTATACTATCATATCATCTGCATAGAGATAATTTTACCCCCTCTTTGCCAATGGGAGCCAATTCTTGACATGAGATCATGCAGGAAGGTCCTACTCCTACTTCTAGTATTAGCAGAGCTTCAAGTGATTTTGTGACAAAAAAAAACACAAAAACAAAAACCAGAAAACCAGAAATCTCTTCAAAACACAAATGTAATGGATTTTATCTATTTAGCAATCTAGAAAGGTAAGTTTTCTTTCTAGCTTTGCAATCTTTTATTTATTACATTCTGGTTTATTTCTCATGCAGTAATAAAATTGTTTTATTTCTGTTTTGTAGACACTGGGAACAGATTTTATTTTCAATTATATAAGTAAATTCTGCAGAAGTTGGAACTCATGTGAGGTGGAAAATTATCACAGACATAAATTCAAGTACAGTACAACCTTCTGAGAATGGAAAAGATCTGAGTTTTCTTTCTAACAGATTTCTCTCTTACACAAGTTCTGACTTTGCATATGTTATTGTATTTTAAATAAGAGAGTTAAAGAACATTTTAAGATTCAGTCCTGTCAAAGGCAGAAAACAAGGCAGTACATATCTTGCTCTCACAGGTTTCATTTTACTTTCACAATAGGTACTGGCAGTATGTAATCAAAAGTACTAATGATTCATTCACACACTATGTGCCCATGTACAACTAATAAATAAAACTTCAATAATCATTAAGAAAACCCAAGCAGACAAGATGGCTTAAGTCCATAAAAACAAAAATGTGCCACATCAGACAGATACTATAAATATTTTAAGATTCAGCTGGAATATAACAGACAACACCTTAGGCCTTTTAATAATAAGTCAACAACGTGAGCTTTAAGACTACTACCTGCCTGTCAATGTTGTCAGGTCAGTTTTAGCACATGTATACCACAGTATAAAACATGGCCACGTCCTATTGCTAGCTTTGAAATTAATGCTATGTTTGAATGCTCTATTGCAGCCATCGAGTCAATTCATCTTATTGAAGGTCTTCCTCTTTTTTACTGATCCTCTATTTTACCAAACAAGATGTCCTACTACAAGGTGTGGTTTCCTGAACTCATGTCGGAAGTACATCAGATGAAATCTCACCATCTTGAAGAAGTGCTACCACAAGCATTCTGGCTGCACTTCAAGATAGATTTACTTGTTCTGGCAGGCCATGCTTTATTTACTTCTCCAATACCTTAATTTAAAAGTACAAATCTGTCATTCATTACTGCAGTGATGTGAGTCTATTGTTTAAAATGGCTTTTCTAGGCCATTTGCTCTTGATGCTGTTACATGGATGGGCGGAGTCATACAAAGAGGGTGTGTCAGTATATTCACAAGAAGACTGGTTAGTCCTGCCATTATACTGAGTAGCTTTAGCAACAGAAATGGAAAATCTCAACACCAACAAGGAAGCAGCAGCAGCAGTGTGTATACTCTAGGGCTAGAGACTCCTGCACCAGTCCGACCAAGATCTATACCAGAGGTACAGCAGGCTCAGTAGTCAACTAGAGACTGACATGAAACAGTGACTTGAGACTGCTGCTTGACAAAACCAGAACTCAAAACCTTTCACTCAAGCTTGCCGGAGGAATGAGGGAAGACACCATAACTGGCAGAACTTTAATGGAACTTTGTAATACTGTCCTAAGCCATGAGGATAAAGATCAAAAGACTTGGAGCACACTTTAGAAGCTGTCCTGAGAAACTGTATCCTGTTGCCAACCTGAGTTGTTAACTTCCTTAATAATCCCTATAATCATGAGTACATTTTTTTCAAGTCTGAAATTTCAAGTCTGAAATCACCAAAAGTTGCAATCCTTTCTCCATCTATCATAATGCTGTTCACAGATCTATTAATAATCAGAATATAGAATGTACAAAGTATGAATCTAGAAAAACAGGAAGTAATTAAAAATGAAACAGAATGCATAAAGATTGAGATCCTAGGCTATTAGTGAATTGATGGTCATTTTCAATGGAAAAAGTCAGATGGTCTATTATAAAAGGAATATAAATTAAAGACAAACGGTGTTGCATTCACTATCAAAAAGTTCTTTCTGAAGTACAAACACTGTCAGTGGTAATAGTCATATAACTACAATGAAGATAAGTTATTTATGATTCTTAAATTTACATATTAACACAGCTAATGCTAAATATCAAACTGAATTTTTTTTTATCAACTTCTGCACTTTGAAAATTAACAAACATGCAGTCAAGGTGCACTTATTAATAACTAGAATGCAAATGTTGGAAACAAAGGATTGGGGCAGTTGGAAAATAGGGTTTTGGTAATAGAAACTAGAGATGTCAGAATACAATTTTGTAAGACCAGTGACTTTTTTTACAAATAATGGAAATGTAAGCTTAATTGTATGAATGGCACCTATTTTTGAGCACTTATTTCCTTAGTTTATTTTTAAATTTCAACATAAGAATTTTAAAGATAAAAATGAGTCTACTAATACTAAAGTATTAAAAATGTCTTTAAAATACTGAAAAATCTGTGGATAGATAATGAACACTGCAGTGGAACAGATGAGGGAAGAATAGTCTGAAAGGATATTATATGTATAACAATAATCTGGAACAAGAGGAACAGTGCAAAATAGACTAGGGGAGCGGAGAGGAAGGAGGAAGGAAAAAATTTGCAACAATGAAGAACTAAAAAAAGTACTGAAACATATAAAAGTAAATATATTTCTTAGCAGATCCTTTTGCTATTAACTTACCATAAGCTGTTCCTGGACCAAATTCAGTGCCAGCATCAATCATATACTGTCCCAAAAGTTCTGGGTTATTTATACGACTTGGGGCTTTTCTATCCAGTTTCTCATAAACAAATTCTTCTATCCTGGCATCTAGGAGGAAAATGAAAAAATACCAACGTTCAGGGGAAAAAAATTTTTTAAAAAGATTTATTTTTTTTATAAACCACTTAAAGAGCTCTGGTTGTGTAGTGATTAAAAGTCTGGAAAAGAACCAGAAGAAGTTCAATGATTCAAATCTACCAGCCAGCCCTCAGACAAGACAGACATGTGACTACATTCTTTTGTACAATTACAGCTCTGGAAACACAATGGAGAAGTTCTACTGTTTTGACAGCTACAGTCTGGCTTTTATAAATCAATTTATCATTTCTAAATATAAAATTAGGGAGCTTTGATGGCCCAATACTAAGCTCTGATAGTATAGTGGTAAGAAACTGTGCACGCAATCTCAACTAATTGTCATTAACCCAAAGGTACAGTTTGAATCCACCAGCTGCTTCCTGGTAGGAAAATGTGCAATCTCTTCCTATACAATTTACTGCCCCTTAAAAACCTCCTGAAGGTCAACTATGAGTCAGTTCTGACTTGCTGGTATATAACAACAAATGAGTGATCTATAGGATTTTAAGTTCCAGAAAGACAGCAAATCACTAAATATTTAGCAAAGTTGGCTTTTGCATTTGTTGTTGTTTTGTGCCACTGAGTCACCTGCAACTCATAGTGACCCTATGTACAACAGGCTGAAACCCTGCTCTATCCTGTGCCAATATCATTGTCTCTGACACACCTCCCCCCATTACCCAAGTCACTGAATCAATCCATCTCATTGAGGGTCTTACTCTCTTCTGCTGTCCATCCACCCTTCCAAGCATGATGTCCCTTTCCAAGTACTGGTCACTCCTTGCAACATATCCAAAGTATGTTACATAAAGCTTCAGAATCTTTGCCGCCAAGGAGTAGCCTGGTTTCACCCTCTCTAGGACACACCTGTTTGTTCTAGTAGTCCATGGTATATTCAATAACTCTTCTCCAGCTCCACAGCTCAAAGGCATCAATTCTCCTATCATCCCTAGTCACTGTCCAGCTCTCTAATGCACAGCAAGTAACTACAAAGACTTTGGCGTGGAGCAAGTGCACCTTTGTCTCCAGCCTGACATCGTTGCTCTTCAGTAATCTGGAAAGGTCTCTGACAGCACTTTTCCAATGCAATTAATCTTTTAATTTCCTAGCTGCCGGTACCAAGAGTGCTGATTATGGAGCCAAGCAAACGGAAGCTGTTAACAAGCTCAGTCTCTTCACCATCTATCATGAAGCTGCCAATTGGCCCAGTTGTGAGAATCCTATTTTTTTTTAAATTATTTTACTATTTTTTTGTGTGTGTACTGTCAAATTGGATCTGACTGGTACAGGAGGAGCTTGCCCCTCCTTCTCCAGCAGAGAATCTGGAGTGGTGGGAATCTTTAATGTTGAGCTTCAATCCATACTGAAGGCGGCAGTCCTTGACCTTCTTCAGCAAGTACTTTAGGTTCTCCTCAGTTTCAGCAAGCAGGCTTGTGTCATCTGCATAATGCAGACTGTTGATGAGTCTTCCTCCAATCCTGATGCCACATTTCTCCTCATAGAGCCCAGCCTCTTGGATAATTTCTTCTGCATATGGTTTGAAAAGATATAGAGACAGGACACATCCATGGTGTACACCCTTCTCAATTTTTAATCATGCAGTGTTTCCTTGCTCTATTCTCACGTCTGCCTCATGGTCCAAGTACAGGTTTCATATAAGCATGATCAAGTGTTCTGGGATTCCCATTCTTCTCAGAGTCAGCCACAGTTTGTTGTGATCCACACAGTCAAATGCTTTTCCATAGTCAATGAAATACAGATAGACATTCCCCTGGTACTTCCTGCTTTCAGCCAAGATCCATCTAACATTAGCTGTAATATTCATAGTACCACAGCCTCTTCTAAATTCAGCCTGCACATCTGGCAGTTCTCTGTTGATGTGCTGTTCCAGTCATTTTTGGATAATTTTAGCAGATTCTTCTTGTATGTGATATTAATATTGTTTGATAATTTCCGTACTTTCTCAGATCACATTCTTTGGTATGGGAACAAATAGACCTCTTCCAGTCAGTTGGCCAGGTGGTTGTAATCCAGATTTCTTGGCATAACTTGGTGAGCATGTCCAAGGCAGCATCTGTTTGCTGAAATATGTCAATTGGTATGCTGTCAATTCCTGGGGTCTTGTTTTTTGCTGATTCCTTCAAAGCAGCTTGAACTTCTTCCTTCATCACCACAGGCTCTTGCTCCATGTTGTTTCATGAAAATCTTGTGTGCCAGCCAATTTCTTTTGATACAATGACTCTGTAAACTTTCCATCTCCTTTTAATGATTCCTGGATCATTTGGTTTTCTGCCCAAAGCATCCTTAAGTATTGCAACTCCAGGCTTGAAATATTTGTTGTTCAGTTCTTTCAGCTTAAGAAATGCTGAGCAAGTTGAATATATACTGATTATTTAAAAACTGAGGATTTTTCAGATGGCTGTATATGTGTATAAAACACCTAGGACTAATGAGCCACATACTTAACATACTTAGCTCTTTTGAGTCTAAATACAGATATGAGAACTTAAGGACTAGACTGACTAAGGCTTGTAATATCTTATAGACAAAGATGATCTCTTTGCTTTTGCTTAAATATGCTCAAAGTGTATATAGACAGTTTCTCTGAAGATACTCATTTGAAAGATTTCAACATTAAAAAATAAGGTTAAAGCGAGTTCTGGTGGCCTAGTGGTAAGAAACTGCACTGCAATCCCAGAGGTACATGGTCAAATCCACCAGGTGTTTTGCTGGAGAAGGAGGGACAATCTCCTGTACGAGTCAGATCTGATTTGATGGTACACACACACACACACACACACACACACACACAAAATTAAAAAAAGGTTAAAATAGATGACAAAGGGTGAAAAATAGTATCAGAATATTAGTATAAATGGTAAAATACCAGCAAAATTGGAAAAAAATTGTTTAACATAAAGTTATGATCACTGGAATTGACATTTACCTTCCTAACTTTCCTAACTTTGAATTATCTTAGAGATAACTAGGGAAAGGGAAAACCAGTTAAGTTTCCAGAAGCAATGCTTAACTACAAATAAAAACAATTCAAAAAGAAGTGAAATAAAATAAAGTTCATTTTAAACATCTCACACAGATTGGTTAGATGAGCTAACCAGTTACAGTAACACCTGAAGAATTGGCAAAATCGATTCTGTCAGAGTAATCATCATTTTTGTGGTAGACTTTTATAGCATCAGAAGAGTCTGCAGTAAGGAATTTATAAACAGTTTGAGACCAAAAAGATTAATTTCAAGACATAAGCACTTAAATATTTAAATTTCAGAATTTAATTTTCATTTTCTGATGGTGTGATTAATGATTAGCTTTACTGTTGTTTTTTTTTTACTGACTAAATTTAATCGACACATGTTAGACACTCTTGTATGAACTATAATCTCTATCTCCCATGCCTCTTGTCTTTCTCCCTTGATTCTACTTCCTTCAGCTTAAAATGTGCTTCCACGTGTCAAAGGCAATCTCTAAGATTTCCACAGTACAAACTCAGCCATTTTTTCAGGATTTCTGCATTTTTTTTAATCTTAGGGCTCTCACCCATATTTCCCTGTAACTGAAACACATTTTCTATTCCTCTCCTCATTCTTTTTCTAACAGATTTTTTTAATTAATTTTAATGAAAGTTTACAGACTTAAGAGTTTCCAGTTATTCATTGTTGTACTTTTCTCACTGCCCCTTTTACCCCACCCCAAATTCACTCTTTTTCTTGAAAAGAAAAAGGAAAACCTCATTGTTATGCAATCCGTCCCCCCAAGTCCACTCCATTATGCAGCCTTCACTCTGGACTTCCGTAATGACAAGAATAACCATTCATATATCCCTTTTAAACAGATCTCTCCCTCATCTGGTCAAAAGTTTAAAAGTTGTAATCTTTATTGGTATTATTTAGTTAGTAATAAATTTGGCATATTAATGTTAAAGTTTACTAGGTCATAATAAAATTTTAGATTATGCAGGTAGTTCTACAATAATGCAAGATACACTTCTGAAAAAAAATCTTATGTTCTGGAAGATTAAACACTAAAACTAGCCATGCTTGTTGGGGGAAAACAGCTGTGGGTTCAGTCTGGCTACTCTAAATCTGTTAAAAGTCAAAGTATACAGAAAAAAATATTTACAATCATCTTACTACCTGGTAATATAAAGCAACGTTTGCTAGAGAAAAAAAAATCAAGAGTTACTGTAAAGTTTTGTTTATAGTGACACATCATTAATTGACTTAACAATCATGTATAAGCTTACTAGCTATTCAGCAAGACACACAGACCAAACTATACACATCTGAGGACCTTGGATTGGGCAAGGAATAAAAGGGAAAATGTCTCCTTTTATTTAAGTTCCACAAGATAAAACTGAAGTGGCCTTAAATGACTTAGAAAAAAGTTACTGAAATAAGTCTCAAATAGTAAAGAGCTTATTTTATAAAATCACTACAATTTAACTTACTGTCTAAGATGGACTGTGAAGGAAATCTTACCATTCTGCTTCTAAGAAGCAGATGGTGAAAAAAACTACAGGATAATAATGGTCTGTCTGGTCCACAACCAATCATGTGAAAGAACAGGACTGAGTAGTGTTTTTACTCTTGGGCAATGGCATCATGAGTTGGAGGCTGACGCTGGAAGCTAGCATCAACAAAACTGAAATGGTACAGTGTTAGTCCTATGTTGTAGAGCTTGGAGTTTTTCAAATAACATAAAAGTTTAAGGATTAAAACTTTAAAAGTTTCTGAGAGCAAATTTCCAGCACCTCACAACAGGATCACAACTAAGCTAGGGAAAAGGGAAAGGAAGAAATGCATTGCTAACTTTTGTAATGAAACAAAGTTCACAGAGAAAAGAGGTGGTCTCATCATGGTCTCAACCAAGTTCCACTTCCCATTTGCTATGTTACATCAAATAAAGGGCTAGCTTCTAAGTTTTCAGCAATAAATAATTATTTATTTGATGTGTCAAGTAATTAAGTTAGGTGATGTGAAAACTCCTAGCGCTGTCTGAGTATCAAATTAAACAATGTGTGAAAATGCAAAATATACACATAAATCATTGATACCATCTTAACCTTTATATAATTTCCCTCTCATTATTAGTGATGTTTCTTCTTGGGTAAAAGAGGAAGACTATTTAGTCTTTACATTCCTTTAAAATTCTTAAACTCAAAGAGTGAGTAACTGAGTTTTAGGATTTCCAAACCCCTAAAATAAATGTTATTTATAAACTGGTTGTTGTTGTTATGTGCCGTCGAGTCGTTTGCCACTCATAGCGACCCTTGTTAGAGGTCACAAAAAAGGAGATGTGTTTATCATTCTCTTTTTTTATTAAAGCATACAAAACCTCCATAGTTAAGCCACAAAACAAAAACCTTAGTCACTCAAGCTTTAAAAATATATGTATTTTAATATCTTTTAGGTAAAAGCTGACCTAACAAATTAGGTTCCTATTTAACAATTTTTATATAAATTGTTCTGAGATTGTTATTACAGTTTTCACACTGTGTAAGCATTCTCATTCTATTTGTTCTTTTCTTATTCATCTTTGTTCTTTCCCCCCCCCTCCTTGCTGTCTCATCTTGGCTTTTAGGAAAATGTTGACAGTTGATCTCATATAGTTAGTTGACTAATGAAACATATTACTCCCAAGTGACAGTGTTTATTTTATAAGCCAATCTATTGTTTAGCTGATCTAGGATTAGACCAGTAGACAGTAGTATCTGGGTACCATCTAATGCTTCTTATCTCAGGCTAGAAGAGATCGTGGTTCATGTGGGCTATTAGTCCTAGTTTCTTCTTTGAACATTTCTGATGCCTTCGTTCTCTTTTCCTTCAGTTGAATTGCTATTGTTATTAGGGGCCACTGAGTAGACCACAACTCATAGCAACCTTATGAACAGCTGACCTGAACCCTGCCCTATCCTCGTTATACCTGAGCCCATTGCTCCAGCCACTGTGTCAAGACACTTTATTGAAAGTGTTCCTCTCTTTTGTTGACACTTCATCTTTCCAAGTATGATATCCTTTTCCACGGACTGGTCTCTTCTAACCACATGCCCAAAGTATATGAAATGGAGTTTCATCATCCTTGCTTCTAGGGCTGCACATATTTGGTTCCTCAGCAGTTCATGAGTGTTTCTGTTACTGTTAGGTGCTGCCGGGTCAAGTACAACTCACAGTAATCCTGTGAACAGAACTGAACCTTGTTTATCGTGTGGCATCCTCACAATCTCTTGATATACTTGAACCCACAGTTGCAGTCACTCTGTCAATCCATCTGGTTGAGACCAGTAATTTTATCTCACATGGCTGTTGCCAAGCTTGACCTAGTTATTCCACTGCTTAGAATATACCCCAAGAAAATGAGAACTGAGGCTCAAACGGAGACCTATACACCAATGTTCATAGTAGCATTATTTACCATAGCAAGAATATGGAAACAGTACAGATGTCCAACCACAAACAAATGGATTGAGAAGTTGTGGTACATTCATTCATACAATGGAATACTAAACTGCACAAAGTGTGTATAAAACCATTATTATAGAATGAGTATGAGGATCCACGGGGTGGGAGGGTAGAAGCAGAGGGGTGAAAATGGGTGGAGGTGGGGTGTTAATCATAGGGCTGCACAATTCAAAGGAGGGTGGGGGATAAAAGAAATGGGAAGAATCTTTTGTGAAAAACAATGTATTCAAATTTTATAAATAAATCAGCATTTAAAAAAGAATGATAGGAAAAAAAATCAGATATTACTTACCAAGCGAATAGAACATTTTTATGAATTCTGTTACGCCAATTGATTGAATCATCCCACGAGACTATGATCTTAAACCTTAACCTAGCAAATCAATCAATTCATTACTATTTGTATTCATGTAGAAGGTTTTTAATTGTGCCCTCTGTATACTTTCTAATACATACCTAACCATACATCCACATGAATGAATATACATACATAACAAATTCATACAGACATATATACATGTACATATGTACGTGTGTGTACAAGAAGCTGTGCTGCAATCCCAAAGGCACAGAGTTCAAATCCATCAGCTGCTCCAAGAGAGAAAGATGGGCCATTTCCTCCTCATGCAACTTATTGGCTCTGAAAACCCACTAGCGGGTCAGCTATGGTTGGTTCCAACTCAATGGCACACAAAAACAACACAGGCAAACATACACATGCATATGCATTTAATCACATATGACTTTCTTTATACCTATTTTTTTTCTCAGTGCCTTCAAAGTTAAGAGCCGATTAATAGCTGTCCCTCATTGGGTTTCCAAGGCTCTAACTCTTACAGGAAGAGCCTGCTTACCTTTCTCCCATGAAGTTGCTGCTGGATTCAAACTACCAAAGATGGGTAGACTGAGTTAGCAGCACAACTTCTTATAGACTACACTGCAAGAGTCGTCTGTATACATATAAGCAACCTATGTAATCACATGCACAGGGTTGTTTTTTTGTTGTTGTTATTACGGCTTTTGCAAAATAGTATGTTATACAGCATTTACTATAATTACCCCTTTATCCTGCACATTTCTTAGTATAACCATTTACTTTGGGCAAGTTGTGCAAACTTCTCTCAAAATTTGGCACTGCCTTTTCTATCACCAGAAATATCAGGAGTCTACTTGCTGCTAAGTCAGAACCAATACATAGTTGATCCTCCCGAGGGAGGTTGTCAATTACACAGCAGAGGGTACATCATTCTCCTGGAGCTACTGGTGTACCTGAATTGCACAGCAGTGCCTTAGGTTTAAGAGCACAACTCCCTATGTACTATGCCACCAGAACTCACTATGTTAAAAATGATTCGTTCTCCCTCCCTTAACCATCAAAGAATGTGTTTTCCTGGGTGTTTCTTGACTTTTAATAATGGTGAGTCCATACAATATCTGTCTTATTTCATTCAGTGCAGCATCCTCCAAATTTACTTATGTTCCCTGTACTCCCCATTGTTCCATAAGATGATGCCAACCTGCAAAAAAATACTTATTTAAGGCTACTAAGTAAGAGAGACAAGTGGTAAAGATGGTTCTTACTTGGATTTGGCTGTAATAGCACTTCAGTTTGTTTCATTATTTTTTCTGTCCATATTTTGGTACATTCAGCTTTGCTAAGCAGGTTCTCCAAGTGAGCATCCAATTCTGTCTTCTCTGCTTGGCCAAGCTTTTCTTCTGTGAACTGTTGTTTTTAAAAAAAAACAAAAACACACACACACCTCAAATTTCAGAAGAATAACCCCAAAACTAAAATAAACTAAAATTCAAACATCTCCAAAATTGCAAATAAGTGTGTCTCAAGTTTATAAGGCACTGTTTAATATGGTTCAGTCTCGATAGTAATGCATCTATAGCTCTTTTATGACATATATGATGACCTTAGATATCACATACCTTTTTGCTAAAATGCATGGTACATATTCTGTAGAAAATCTAGCATACTACCTAAACAAAGAAATGTTTTATACATATAAAGTAGGAGAGTATAATAAAGAACTTTTACTTGAAGCTTAATTAAAATTCTATATGATCTTTTTTTCACTTTTCATGAAAATTTTTACTGAGTTTGTTTCTTAATAACAGCATTATTCAGATATAATTCATACACACATAAAGTTAACTTTTAAAGAAGTATACAGCTCAGTAGTTTATAGTGTATTCATGATATGCAACATCACTAGTACATTTTTGTCACTCCTAAAATATATATTATACCCAGCCATTAGCTGTCATTCCCTGTTACTTCCTTTTCCTCTAGTCACTAATGAACTCTTGGTCTCTAATCTGTATTTAAGGTCTCTATGCCTCAAGTCTTCTTTGCAACTCTTTTTCTTTTATTTCTTCTGTTGTTAATTTTTCTACTATGTATTTTTTTTTTAGTCCTTAAAGATTATGGGTAACATTTTCTTTTTTAAAAATTGAGATTTTAATGAAAGTTTACAAAAAACTTGGATTTCCATCCATTCATTGTTGTACATTTTCCTCCCTGCTTCTACTATACAATCTTGATTAAGTTTAAGCAACATTCAAGCTTGCTCAAGGATTCTCCCATTATATAAGAGTAAAGCATATTTGACAGTATATTAAAGATTAAGTAAGCTGTAAGACTTTGGTCAGTGCCTAGTAGTAGTAATTCTGAATTAATAAGAGTTGTTTATATTTAATATCTTATGTATTATTACTATTTAATCACAATGTGTTACATATGCTTTTATAGGATGTTCTGAAAAACTATCATATAAATTGTTTCTCTAGGCTATGCTCCAGAAATCCACTTATATACAAACTTTTGGAATACATGCTTTTCATACTTTAAAAAGTATTTCTAAAATATCATCACATGTAGTAAAATAAGCTCAACACATTTCTTTAATCACAAGTGTGCTAGTTGTTGTTGCTGTTATGTGCCATCAAGTTGCCTGCTCTTCGACTCATAACGATCCTATGTACAATAGCCCTAAACTCTGCTCTATCCCTTGCCAATGTTATCACCTCCGACACACCTATTCCCATTACCCCAGGCACTGAATCAATCCATCTCATCGAGAGTCTTGTCTTCCTCTCCTGCATTGTTCCTCGACCATCTCCACCATCCCAAGCATGACGTCCCTCTCCAAGGACTGATCCTGCCTTGCAACATGTCCAAATTATGTCAGATGGAGCTTCAAAATCCTTGACTCCAAGGAGCAGCCTGGTTTTACCCTCTCTAGAACGAACTTGTTTGTTCTCCTAGCAGTCCATGGTGTATTCAATATTCTTCTCCAGCACCACAGCTCAAAGGCATCAACTGTCCTTCTATCATACCTAGTCCCTGTCCAGCACTCTGATTCATAACAAGTAATTGCAAAGACCATGGCATGTATTAGGTGCACCTTAGTCTACAGACTGACACGGCTGCTCTTCAGTACTTTGGAGAGGACTCTGACACCAGACTTTCCCAATACAATTCATCATTTAATTTTCTGGCTGCTGGTGCCGAGAGTGTTGACTGTGGAGCCAAGTACAGTGAAGCTTTCATAAATCTCAATCTCTTCATCATCTATCATGATGCTGATGTGCTGGTGTTTTAAGAAAAATAGCACTGCCTATATAATCATGAAGAGGAAAAAGATTTCTATGCAAATTTTAGACATTGCTGATGCCAGATGGATCCTGAGTGAAATCAGAATACCAGAGGTATTTATTTATGTTTAATTGACTACAAAAGTATATTTGACTGTGTGGATTCTAACAAGCTAACACTGAGAAGAATGTGAATTCCAGAACACTTAATAGTCCTCATGCAAAACCTACACTTAGACCAAGAAGCTGCCATGTAGCAGAGCAAGGGACAACATACACTTTAAAATCAAGAAATGAGTGTGGCAGTACAGCATCATTTCTTCATATCTATTAAATCTGTATGCCAAGAAAATCACTCAAGAGGCTGGACTTTATGAATAGTGTGGCATAAGGATTGCAGAACACTGATCAACAACCTATGCAGATGACACAACCTTGCTTGCTGCAGAAAGACAACTATAGCCTTTAATATGGACTGCATTTCAACATCAAGATGACAAAACTCTTCACTACTGGGCCACCAATCATAATAGATGGAGACTAAAGTTGTCAACAATTTCATCTTGCATGTTGTTGTTGTTGTTATGTGCCGTCGAGTCGTTTTCCACTCATAGTGACCCTATGCACAACAGCCCTAAACCCTGCTCTATACTGCGCCAACCGCACTGCCTCCGACACACCCATCCCGATTACCCCAGTCACCGAATCAATCTAT